ATCCACCCAGAGTTGATCCGACGCGTAATGTCTCGGTCAATATTACCATCACCTTGTACAAGAGATCCAAGATACCGAAAGTCAGTGCATATTGGTAAGGGTGTTCCCGAAAGGGTTATGGGCACAAGACTGGAGAGACCACCAAAGTCGCAGAAAAGGTATTCTGTTTTACTTCTGCTGACTCTCAAGCCAACACTCTCCAGTCTTTGTCGCCATTCTTCCAATCTGTTCTGAACATCTAGACTATTCTCGGACGCTAGCACAATGTCGTCGGCGAACAGCATGCACCAGGGGGCTTCTTCTTGTATGTCTGATGTTAAGGCGTCCAATACCATCAAGAAGAGGTACGGGCTAAGGGCAGACCCCTGGTGTAAACCTACAGCCACATTGAAGCTAGTAGTGGTGCCAGCTGTGGACCGGACTTGTGTACTGCATCGATTGTACATATATATATATATATATATACATACATACATACATATATATCTATACTAAACGTTAAAACGTAACTAGGGACGAACCCGACCGGAGCGAAAATGAGTCGCTAGTATACTATATTAGTGAAATGGAAGAATATGAATTGATTGAAAGATAATGTAATTAGTGAATGAAAGATAAGACTATTGAAAATAATAATTTATTATAAACTAGCATTGCCCGCGGCTACTCCGCTTGCGTTCAGATGACCAAAAAGCAAATTCTTAGGTTTTACATATTCGTTCTTACAGTGCAGTTTTTGTATTTTTTTCTTAGAAATGAGATATTTTCCCGCGGTCGTGGTCAAGCGGCCAAGGTGCAAGATCATCAATCACAGGTTCGAATCTCGGTCGCATACAAAGTTTTTACGTTTGTTTTTTTTTAATATTTATTCAAGTTTTTAGTTAAAAAAAAAGAAAATTGTACTTTAGGCCAGACACTCCGAGCGAAGCTCGGTAGCCCAGGTACTATAATTAAATTAAATTAAATACATACATATTATAAATATAAACACCCACGACTGGAGTACAAACATTCGTGCTCATCACACAAATGAATGCCCCCATCGGGACTCGAATCTGCGACCGTTGGCACAGTAAGTATGGTGTGTGGTCACTGCTGGTGCACTGCTGTTGGTGGTTGAACCAAACGTGTCGTCAATCAAAATATTTCAACGGTCGAAAATGCTGGTGGGCAAATACTTATGATGGATAGTATAAAATTTACATATTTGTATTGGAAACCACAGTGGATTAAAACGGAAAACGATATCAGACGACTTTTTCCTTTTAGAGTATAGGTACTTATTGCTATTTCCGCAAATTCTGCACTTCCGTCGATTCCCTTAAGTATAGTTTTTTATCTAACTGTCAACAGAAATTAATGATTTAAATCGTTATTTATTTATTTATATACCAAAGAAAAAGATATAAAATAGAAAACCTCTTTAAGAGATCTCGAGCGTGAAAAAAAATAAAAATAATAATGAAGTGCGGTGTAGTTACAAACTACAAATATCAATTATTTAAGGAATATCGGACACAGCCTTCGTGTAATTATGATACAACTTCACTTGCAGGTAAGTTCGTTTAATCATCAATTATAATTATCAAAATTTTAGTTTAATGTAGAATTATTACCTTACAAAGCAATAACGTTTTAATGTTACTTTGTCTTTCTTATCTTTACTAGCATTGCCCGCGGCTCCGCCCGCGTTCAGATGACCAAAAACCAAATTCTTAGGTTTTACATATTAGTATACTCTTTCATTGCAGTTTTTGTATTTTTTCTCAGAAATTAGAGATTTTCCCGCGGTAAAAAGTATCCTATATGTTGACCCGGATAACCAGCTATCACCATACCGAATTTCATCAAAATACTTCCAGTAGTTTTTCTGTGATGCGGTAACAGACAGACAGACAAAAATTCTAAAAAGTATATATTCGGCCTCTGTATCGATAATAATGTTTATTTCAATAAGATTTTCCAAAAAATATTTAATGTACAGATTTGGCTTAGTTACAATTTTATTATATGTATAGATTACATTCGAAACTTCATATACCGAATTTAAATTGTCAGTATTCTTCGCATTATACCAAGTTTTCGCATTATCAAGAACAAAAAAAGTAATAAAAAATAAGAGAAAATATTTTTATGATAATATGATAACGTAGTGATGATCTACAATAAATAATTAATCTGAAGTGGAGCTGACAAAGTGAACACTTGCAAGACAATTATAAAAATAAACGAACTGATTTTTATGATAACATCATGATAACTGGTATAGTATTGTGTCATCTGTATGATAACGTAGCAATAACCTTTAATAAAATCTGATGAGAGTGGAGTAGTCCAGGCGAATATTTGTAAGGCAATACAAAAAAATATTTTTTGATAAAATGATAGCACTAATGAACACTCATACTAATCTGCAGTGGAGCAGTCGAGTTAAAAAATTGATTTTTTGGAATCATTCGTTACCTGGTATACAGATATGATATCGGCAGTTATCACTTTGAACACCTTGAAAAGAATTTAAAACTATGTTTAAGGGCTCCTAAATATTGATATATTTTATAGTTATAGAGAATACCTGAATACTGTAACAATCTATGGGTACTTCTTCTTTAAAGCTAGTGTCGTTGTATAGAATTTCTTACATAATATGCTTTTATTTGTTCCTGTTTAGCTGTTTAATTCAAACAAATCACTATCTGCAATAACTACTTCCCTCCCATCATATTATGTATTTTACGAATATACATATTACTTAAAATTAAATTTACCTACTTACTATATGTATTCGTTTACTCTATTATTATCATAAAAAAATGTGTCAATATAGTGTTGTAAATATTCGTTTTCTTTCATGTAGATTAAAAATTTATTGTTAGGATTTGTATTTATGATAAATACTTAATAGGTGAGTCAGAGTTAAATGGACTAGCATAATTAACTATAGTAATGCAGGAAGCATAAAATATTTTATATTAGCGACTCACCCTCGCTTCGTATGGGTTCGTCCCTAGGTAAGTAAATCAAAAATCACAATGGCCACCGAGCTCAAACTTTACCAGATTTTTTTTTCGTCATCTTGGACACTTTTTTCGGCGATTTTTTGGCCTACCCTCATATGATTTTCCATATAAATAATAAGGTTTTTTTTGAAATTTTAATGCGCTCAAACGAATTATTGTCTAGTTAAATTTAAAACATATTGTTGGAGGAAAGAAAAGACCTGATATGATTTTTTACTTAGTCGTATCGTTTACAAGTTATTCGAGGTTAAAGTTTAACCTCAAATGGTAAATGATACGTTTACAATTTTTCATACTCTATCACAATTATATATATATATATATATATATATATATATATATATATATATATATATATATATATATAATAGAATTGCTCGTTTAAAAATAATAGATAGCATGGATAAGTAAAATTTAGTTTCACCGTGAAGTTCTACATGGAACCCACGCTCGTAGTCAGCCAAAAGCAGATGCCATATTTTATGTCTTTATCAATTCTCTATTCTTTGTCAAAACCTTCTTGGTCCTGCGGAATTAACAAGCCAAGAAGAGCTTTTAATCTATTTAGATGATTGTAAAGAAATGAGTTTATTATTGCAACGATTATAATTATTTATATAACTATTTTCAAAGTACTATCGAAATTAAGCCGGTGGTAGGACTCCTTCAAGCCTGAGGAGTCCGACTGGATGGGTACCACCCCCTTATCTATTTCTCCCGCCAAGCAACTATGATTACATTGTCGTGTTCCGGTTTGAAGGATAAGGTAGCCAGCGCAATTACAGGCAAGAGGCATATTATCTTAGTTCTCACAGTGACAACGTACCTGCGGTTCTGCAGTTTTGTAACATAAAACCTAAGCGCATGAACCGTAAGTGTTATGGGCGACAGGTACCACTTTCTATCAGGTGGGCTGTCTGCTCGTTTGTCACTTAGTACCATAAAAAAATTAGGTGTTACTGGAAACTATATGGCAAAAGTTAAGGAACTCTTCAGATATTTGGTTATGGATCTTTAGATTATATGTACTTTCCAAGATAGTGGTAGATGTGGTGGCCTTTTTAGAGTATTTACTACCTTAAGACACAATTTTATTCCACTTATTGACACGCTTTTAATATTATCTGTACATCTTATCTTGCTTTTGTTAAAAGAAGGAGGTATAGCATATAGATACTTTTTCGGATAATAATAAGTTGTTAGCGTTCGTACTTGAATGGTGTTGAGCGGAAGAAGGGTGTAGCTTATCACAACAGTCATTATTCTATCATCTACATAGCACCGTGAACAATCATTCAAACTTTACATCTTTAAATGTGCAGTATTTGTTTATGTGCTATTTAGCGTTATTGGTTTACCATTAACAGAATGATGATAAACGTTGTACTATAGATATTTTGTTTAGTATATAAGTTGCACTGCACCTTGGTATTTTTTACTTGTCGAAGGTAACGTAAGATATTGTCCAATTGCTCGAGCATTAGACTCTATCGATATTATTATTCAAATATTTATATTTTGATTAGTTTATTTGTGATAGTTTTCCCAAAATTATAAGAGAAAATTATTCTGTCGCATACCACGATTCATGTTACCAGACAGGGATAGATATACAGTGCACATTTATCTCTATTTTGACGAATAAAATTTATTAAACTCACAATATAATTATAGATATCCGTCTAAATTTTTTAGGAAATTTTAGTTTTCGTGAATCAAAAAGTTCTCGTATTTCATAGACTCAAACATTTTTTATTAAAAAACAAATATTATAGGACTATCCTACTGGATTAAAATGAAACTAGAGCTCGTTGATACCTATATAAATAAAGACGTACTTATGGTCCTTTGTCTGATTAGATTGCTAGAACCGAAGCATTTATTCACAGTTTTAGCTATCATGATAGAATGTGCATGATATAAAATATGACTTAAATAAAACGAAAGTAAACAGTGTTAATTATGTAAAAGTTCGCTCACCTCTAGCAAAGAATCCATGCCGCACTTTATAACAAATATTTTCGAAGGTAATATTTAACGAGTCTTCCACTGATGCTGTCGAAGTAGTCTCTTGCGAGTCAGATTGGCTGTCAGTTGCCATCTCTACATAGACACTAAGGGAAATTACACGAGAACAAAGGGTGGCGTACTCAGTCCGCGCGTTTACAAACAAAGATTCGTATGCTATACAAAAGAGCGAAACGACACGACAGTCGCAAACGCCTATACGCAGAGGCGAATAGCGGCACACTGAGTTGCGCACACGTTCCTTTTCGTAGTGTGCCTACTGCCTAGGCGATTACCCGATTATTAACTATCGTTTGCAACTTGCATCCGATTCTCATCTAAATTTTTATTCAGTATTTTTATATTAGATTAAATAAGTTTAGCTATTTCCGTTTCCTTTATTTAGAATCATGCAAGGAAATTAGCGTTGTTTAAATAGAATTTAGCTAATGCCTCAATTTTTTAAGTATTATTAACCGACTTCCCCAAAAAAGGGGGGAGGTTCTCAATTCGTCGGAATCTTTTTTTTTCTTTTTTTATGTATGTTCACCGACTCGAAGACGCCTGAACCGATTTGAATTTTTTTTTGTTTCATAGGGTATACTTTCCAGGTCCCATATAAATTTTATTGAAATCGGTCGAGCGGTTTCTAAAAAAATCAACAATAATTATATTTTTTAAATAAATTGTTTAATCAAATATGTTATTAAAAAACTTTCTTCTTACAAATTACCTGCTTATTACGCCTACAATATTTTAAGATATGAATATCTAATAGGTAAATACGAGTATGTATTTTACGTATCGAAATATATTAGATTTGCTTTGCATCGGCTGGCACCGACTTCGAAAATATCTGATTAGAAAATATCTATTCTAAATGAAAACCTCCGTTTAGTTATTTTTTACATTTTAGTGCCTGGAAGTCGGATTCTATTTTTTTTAAGTTTTTTTGATAGCAATGACTACATTACGATTTTTAACATGATTTATTAATCGATTAAAATAATGAGCGGATCGACACTAGATGCTCGTATTATCAGTCGGTCTCCCCACCCTTGGTATCTCAACTGGCAAACTTAAAAATTTATTGCCGTTATCGTTAGCAGACAGAATACAGATAGCCTGCTTATATGAATAAGATTTAGGAATATAATAGTAAATGAATATTAATGGAGATTATTTTATTGAGAGTCTGATTTGACAACTCCCTTTATCTTTAAAACAATATTTATAATAATTTAGTAAGTAACTTCGATTGTAATTTTTTTAGGCTTAAAGATTGATTTCTTTATGGGGTGTAGGTATAGTGCATATACTTGCAATGCTATCGACGTTCCGACTATCTATGTGTCATGAACGAATTTCACTCCATTCTTTATCGAGGTCAGAAGAGATCTTTGTAGGTTTATAGAATTATTTTATCTATATTAGAATCAAGATTCACGGTGTACGGTGCATTGCCACTTGCCAGCCAGGCATAGGTATACAAAGGTGCAAGCTTGGTAGCACTGAGATTAGTTCTAAAGTGCCCAAGGAAAATTTTACTGGATTGTCTTTCCAAATTAGTCTCGAACAATTGTTAAATAGTTTAGGAATTAAATAATTAAAGATAGCAATAAATTTTAATGCTGTTTTATGATACATGTTAAGCATATTAAAGCTATGCAAAAACGTTTAAATATTATAAATACTTATTATTAATAGGAATAAACCATTTTTAATGTGTTAGGGTTTTTCATAACGCGGGGATAAAATATACGTATTTAATAATCACGAGAACGAGCGTGTTCTCAGTATAATAAAATTATTATCAAAATATTTACAATGGTGAATATGAAAATTTTAAAGATAATTCGTAGATATCGAAACTCATAACATTTATATCATTTATTTAGATAATTAACAATCACATACATGAAATATTAAGGTTTAATGTTCAAATAATGAGATATAACATTTATTTATGAAAAAAGTACACCGAATTTAATATTACTTAATTATTAAGGCGGACAGACGGACAGAGAGACAGACAGGCAAAGAAAAGTTGTCCGTCTGGTTGCCTTTTCATAATATTAAATATACATTAAAAAAACCTAAAGAATTCACTCGTTTGTGATGAAAATTTGATGAGTTGTTCTACATATGTACCTACGTACATTTGCAAAGGTTCCTGCTCTAAACAAATAATATGTATGAAGTATGTTTGTATACGTTCCTTAATCATTTATCCTTAGGGGTGCAATAAACAGCTAATAAAAAATAAAAGTAAATAGATACACAGACAATAGGGGCACTCCTAAGTGAAGTTGCTCAAAATTAAAGCTACGGGTTTTTTGTATGAAACATCAGACTTAGACTATTGTCTGACATTTTAAGATAGTTAACGCTAACAGATATCATTTAATTGTATGGAAAGGATGTATTTCAGTGAATAAGGTATTTATTTCAATGTCATTCTCACACATTTTTTGCTTGAACGAATGTAGAGTCTGGACCTAGCGTCTAGATGTAAGATTTCCTTAGCATTTATATTGTTAATTTCTCAGAAAAGAAGATTTTTTTCCGATTTAATACATACACATAATTATACCGATAGCTTATATAGGGTGTACCTTATCCTGGTGGGAGGGAAGTGGCCTGCTTCGACAGACCTGCCCGCGTCGAAGCGTCGTGATCCTACGAAGCCCGGTCCCATTAAGAAAATAAACTCACGGAGTGGTTTTTATCCGCGCTTGCTACGGTTGCGGGACAGCTATGTTATTTCTAAGCTCACGAGACTGGTTGTTTGTACCAGAATCGCCCACAGCGGCCGCGGTTGTGACCATCGTTAGCAACGTGTGTGTGCAAAAGTGACGGGCGATGATCGTAAAACCGGCGGTTATTTACGGTTGCAAAGCTGTTATATATATATATATATATATATATATATATATAATAAATGTCAAAGTGTGTTTGTTTGTTTGTTTGTTTGTTTGTTTGTTTGTTTGTCTGTCCTTCTTTCACGTCGAAATGGACTTACGGATTGGCGTGATTTTTAGTATGGAGATAGTTGGAGGGCTGGAGAGTGACATAGGCTACTTTTTACCGCGGGAGATAATTATCTATTTCCCAATATATTATAATAGAATTCTATGTGAGGTTAATAAAGTAAGAGATTTAGCAGCAAATTAACATTATTTCGCTAAAAGAAAAAAGGTACAGGTAGAGAGTTTACCAAGATCAAGACTAAAATAATTATGTATAACGCCTGAGCACGTAGTATCTTAGAGTCTTGCTCTACCGTCTGGAGACCATATCATGCTACGCACGTGTTAAAAGGGTTCAAAAAGGCTTTCTTCGACATCTTGCCTCTACTTCGGGAATGTCTATGGCACTAAAAGAATATAAACATAGACTTAACTACTTTAAATTTTGCTCGAAGACCGCAGAAACTTATTAGATCTATCAATCTTTCCTCATACCCTCGTAGCTCCACAGTTCTGGCACGGTAATGTTATAGTATTCCATCTTCATACAAACGGCCGGAAATCGAGTTATACCTACGTGCCTCGAGTTCTGTATATATACACTCAGTAGACAACCGTCCGGGTACGGTAATGTTACATAATAACATTACCGTGGTCCGGGGCTGCCAGATCGTATAATTTAATACGAAAATTGTATAAGGTGGTTATTATGAAACTTTTATAATTGGATACAAAAATAAACATTTTATTCCTCCCATAACTTCGCTAATGTCAAACAAAAAGTATTGAGACAGACATCGTATGTTTTAAAAATAAACATAAATTAATTCAATTAAAAATTAAAGTATTTTTAATTAAACTTTTTATTCGAATGCGGATTTTTTATACTATTATATTTAACAATAAAGCTTTTTGTATGTCTTAGTCGAGGCGCAAATATTTTTCAATCTCAAATTTATAAGGGTCACATAAATTTGAGATTTTTTGATTAAATCTACTAATAATATTTTTAAATAAAAAATATAATATTTGCAATCACAAAACTAGAAAGAAACTCAAGTAGGTAGATGAAATTAAAATACTATAGGCTGGCAGCCCTTTTTTTTTTTTTTTTTGACGTTGGGAAATGCATTTACGCACGACTTGTGGGACTCACCGGCGTAATACAGCCAGTACTACCCACTAAAACCCAACAAAACCTTCCCCCGTCTTAATGGGGCGTCGCAGGATCGCTTACGCATTCAACTACGACGCCCCGACGGCAGGTCTGCCAAAGCAGACCACCACAACCATGGGGTTGCTCCAAGGTCCACTCTGCTATCAGAGAAGTACCAGGAGCAACCCGCAAGGTACACCGCCCCCCGAAGAGGGCCACCTCCCACCGCGCACCGAAGTGGGCAACCTCCCTGTGCGTTTCTTAGCTTCGCTACTACTACTGAGCCCCCCCACCACGACAAGGTGAACGCACGTTGGGGGGGATAGGCTGGCAGCCCTGTCGCGCGGCTGTAGGTAATTATTTCAAGGACAGGGACGAGTTACAATAATAATGTATGCAAAACATTACCTACTGTGCGTAAGGGTGCTAATTCTCATATTCGTAGAATTTGGAATTTATTTAATAGCTTTAGTAACTTGGATACTCTTTACCAGTCAATAGTCACATACCGAAAGTTAAAAATAGAAACACTAATTTAATATAATTATAGCATATAATGTATATAATTTAATGTTTAATGTTTTTTTTGTCTTGGGCATTATAAGTATTTAAATATTAATGAACCTAATTATTTCTACCGTCTAATTATTATATTTAAGTTATACACTATGATGTTTACCTGTAAGTGGCTTTCCATTTTGTTAGATTTGTATTTCTTAATGTTATTTCTTGAGTATTTGTTGTAAATGTAAAGTTGTTGGTGAACCTAATAAAGAGAATCAAAATGACTTAAAATAACATATAAGCGTACTGTTAGTCCAACCAGAAACCGGTTTGGGAACAAAATATTGAAAACTTGAAGTTTTATGATTATAAATTGTTATTGTTAACGCTTTGCGTCCCCCCATTTCACGGGGGTAGCTAGGCATCCGGGGCATTTTACGAATTTCTATTCCTTATATATCTTGT